TCTGTTTTCAAAATTATATATATATATTTCTTCTTAAACCATAACATAATTAGTAATCTTCTTAAACCTACGAGCAAGATCTGAGCTCTCAAAGTTAATTTATAAACTGCTAAGTTGAAATTGAATGGTGGAAACTAATCACACGATATCAGGTTGATGAGATGAAGATATAAGAAGAAGAAGTTTCCTATTTTATATGTAAATAAACTGATATCTAACAAATATTTACTTAGTCTTAAACTCTTGAATTTACTTTAATATAAGAATATATAAGTAATAATTATTATATTAATTTTAAACTATATTTTAATTATTTAATAATAAAATTTTCCTCAAATAATTTTTTTCGTCTTCGCTCTCGTCAATCTTGCCGGCCTTAGCCGCCTAAACCTTCAATATTGTAAACTTGACTATCATCATATCCTTCCAAAGAATCACCAATAAAAAAAACTAAGGAGAATTGATTTGCTATTCACTTTAGTTTATATTTGACTCTTTTATCAACTCCTTAGCAGACTTAACTTGGAAGCTTTGCCTATCAACTAAGAATTCTTGTGTTCTAGTATTGCGTATGTAATGTATGTGTGAGTTTGACTTAATTGGTCTAAACGTAAAAAAAAAAAAACTCTGCCCAACATTATTAACTGACATATGTACAAACAAGATTGTCATAGCATCAAAGCTAGTGGAATGTTAGTGTGGTCGGGTTTCACAACCAATACTTAATATAAAATTAATTAAATTTTTATTTAATGATTTTTTAGTTATAATTTTATTTTATTTTATTTTTTACTTTCAATTAACATGCATATACAAATAGCATTTTTAATGTATCAATAATATTAAATATTTTAATAGAAAACAGGCCATTTATATTATTAATAAAGAAGACGAAAAATTATATGGGCAAGTCTACGAAGTGAAGTCAAGTCTCCTAAGAGCGAGCTAATAAAGGAGTCAAATAGAGACTAAAATGAATTGCAAATAGCCTCTAGGATTCTACCAATTGGCTAGGATTTACCAAAGGCTTTGGGTGTACTCGAGATTTTTTTAAGGAGGTTTGGCTACACATAGGAAGCATGGGGCCTCACATTTAATCATAAAGGAGTCGGATTTGAATTGATTCAAAACTATGTGATGTAAATAGGTGTATGCATGTTTAATTCTGGATCAGTACATAATTAATTTTTTGTCTCTTTTGAGTGCATTGGAATCCTAGTCAATGTATGATTAAACTCTAGTTAATCACACATTCACTGCATGATATTAAACTTCTTAGAGATTGCAAAATGCTAAAAAATAATCATAATATTTGCACCTATTCTATACGAAAAGTTACACAATAAAAGTGTGATAAATAAAAAGAAGATATATTTTTATCGATTTACGAGGGATTAAATTCTTTAAAGTCAAAATCACTGAAAATAAAAAAGAGATTCTAGTTACTTATAACAATTAAAAGACTTTTTCTAAATGAAGCTAAAGACACAAATAACAAAATTCAGCTTTCTGTTTCTTCCCCTTCTCTTCCTCCTCTCCCTCTCCCTCTCTTTTTTGGAGGTGGAGGCACTGGGGGATTTTAATGCTTGAGATTTGACTATATATATATATAGTGACTAATCCAGCATTGCAAATCTTTAATCTAGTGTCGTAGCATTGCATGTTAAATCCTATATTATATATATATATATAGTGACTAATCCAGCATTGCAAATCTTTAATCTAGTGTCGTAGCATTGCATGTTAAATCCTATATTATATATATATATATAGTGACTAATCCAGCATTGCAAATCTTTAATCTAGTGTCGTAGCATTGCATGTTAAATCCTATATTATATATATATATATAGTGACTAATCCAGCATTGCAAATCTTCAATCTAGTGTCGTAGCATTGCATGTTAAATCCTATATTACTATAGAACAAAAGTTCTTATATTGCAATGGCAATTCATAGCACTATTGTACTGCCAAGCCTAAAGCCACAAAGCTTCCAAGCACGACGCCTTTGCACTCTCGTTTAAATAGAAATACAAAATTTTAATTTAAAAAGCTTTTTCATTTCTGGGTTGCTACAACTAGCCTACTTTAATAGTATTTTTTAGGTAAAATTTTATATGGTTTAATAAAATTAACCTATATAAGAGGTTTGGCCATGTAGTTAGAACATCTAGTTAGAAATCACAAAATATGGCCAAGTCTTAAGGGATATTGGGATTGTTTTGACTAAAGATCTAACCAAGCCCATCAAGTTAAAAACAAGGTTTCTCATGGTCAATTTATTACACCACTAAGTAATTAAGCCAATGAGAGAGACAGAGAGCTTAAAACACCGGCTGAATTTTGTGAGACAAATTAGGGTTAAGTCAAGAAAGAAGTATTTCTTATAGTTGACCATGGTAAAACCATTTTTATGAGATTTGATTTGAGCTGAAAATGATTTATTGATAAATAATTAATATGTTCCTCCAATGATCTTTCCTAAATTAACAAAGATTTTATAGTTATTATAAGGTTATACCCTAGTCAACTTTTTAATGAGGCTAATGAAGGGTTTTTAGTTTGGCTATGTTAAGGAAGAACATATAGAATATTCTAAGAGGATTGGTATGAGAATTTACTAAGAGAACATATAGAATATTCTAAGAGGATTGGTATGAGAATTTACTAAGAGAACATATCAAATATTTTAAGTTGGCTAGTACCCACCTGATACTGACAAATACAAACCCAACTTATGTATTAAGTGGGTTAATCCAAATCAGGAATTTTCGTATTTGGCCTAGGTTTGATTTTTTTTTGGATATGTCATATATTGACACCTATAAAAGGCTATAGTTATTTTTCAAGATCCTAAGCATTCACTACTGGAAAGTTAGCATTTTTGTTGTGGACTTTGCGATGGAATTTTTTTTTGTAAAACATTAAGATGGATTTGTGGCTGAAATTTTGGTTGTTTTATTTGCAGCTGCTTTGCGGTTGAGTTGTGGCTAAAATTCAATGTTAAATTTGCGGTGTCACAAATTTGATATAAATTACCCTATCTAACTGACTCATTAGCATTCATTTCAATTATTATCCCTGTTCTCTCGACCACTATCCTCTGCCCTTCAGCTCTTGGACTTCGCTCACCTCCTTCGATGACATTCCTTCTTGTTGCGTCCGAAGTTACACTTCCTTACCATTCTTCTTCTAAACCGCATCCTCACCTCCATCCGTTTTTCTTTGCACTCGAAGTCGCACCTCAATCCCATTTTTCTTCACAGCCGAAGTCCAACCTCCTTTGGAGACAGAGCTTGCTCGTTGTAAAGATATCAATCTTTCTTCCTTGTGGGCTTCTTCGACCAAATTGTGGCATTCAAAGTCACACCTCCTCACCATTCATCTTTAGTAGCCAAAGTTGAGGAGATGGGAGCGTGGCCATTGTGAAGGTATCCATCTTTCTTCCTTTTGCGTGCTCTTCATCCAAATCCACCACCGCCACAAGGTATGCATTTTGCTGATAATATTCTTCTTTGTTTATAATATAGCTACTCTGCAAACAATTAGAAGAATTTGTATAACCAATAGGTGGCTAACTTGACAACAGAGCTAGAAAATATCTGAAAATCACGAGCGGATATTAACATTCTGATACTGGAAGGCCTCAAAGATTGAGGAAGGCAATTGGTGGAAATATGCCTGCGCTGTATCGACCGATCATAAGAGTGAGGATATAGTTTCTGCTTAGATTGTCTGTATAGAAATTTTTGATGAATTTTATTTAATTTTTTATATATAAGAATTATTGATACTATAACAGTGTTGTAGTAATTATAGAATAATTAGAATGTGATTATCTATTTTTGCATTTGGTTTGTGATTATACAAAACTATGTTTCTTATGTTTATTTTAGTATTGTTTGTAAAAATATTAGCATTACTAACTAGTGCTTTTAAAAAGCTTGGATTGTTATTAATGGAAAGCTCAATAATTGATTTTATATTGATTTGAGAGAGAAATTCCCCTGGAAATATTGTAATGATGAACAAGTATCATATTTTGTGACGGAACAGTCCATCGCAAATTGCGGCTGAATTTCTACCACAAATTACGACAACATTTCCACTGCAAATTCCGTCGACTTCAAATCTGTCATAATTTACGACGCAATTTGAGGCATTTCACAAAAATGAAGATGCCATTTTTTTCAAATTCAAATTGAGGCATGAATTACTTCCGTTGCAAATACATTTGCAACATAACTTTTACCGTCAAAATTGAATCCACCACAAACTAAAATTTAGATGGATTTGACTTGTTTTACACGACGGTTTTGACCTCTAAAATCAATTAAAATTTTATTTATAATTACGATCCGCTTACGATATTCGTTTTTAAAAATTCTAAATGTTTTTTAGTGCTTTTAAAAATAAACAAAAAAAAAAAAGAATTGAAAAAAAATACTAAACAAACATATTTAAAAAAAAATAATATAAAATTTATAAATAAAATTATTTTATAATATGTAAAACCATATTATTATTATGAGATCTGTTTTAAAAAATATATATATATATTTCTTTTCTTAGACCATAACATAATTAGTACTATTCTTAAACCTACGAGCTCTCAAAGTTAATTTTTGAACTGCTACGTTGAAAATGAATGGTGGACTCAAATCACTTATTATCAATTTGATGAGACGAAGAGAAGCAGAAGCAGAATAAGAATAAAAAGGTCTCTTATTTTATATATAAGTGAACAGATATCTCATGGCAATTATGCTCACCAAGTCACACATTATTTCATCAACTGTTACGCATACATCACGAAACAATATTGATCATTGCTAGCGTCTTATTCTTCAGTAGCTTTAGCTTGAGGCTATGACATGAAACTTTTATTTATGAGGAAGGACAATAACTGAAAGCAGCCGCTTCCACAGCCCTCTACTGTGGACTAAACCACCACCATAAGGATGGTGGCCACAGCAACCTCCTGCTTCTACAAAGCCTTTAACGACGGCCACCTCCGTCGCCACCGCCACCATCACCACCGCCACCATCTCCACCACCACCACTGCCATCTCCACCGCCACTGTCGCCATCGCCACTGCTTCCACCATCACCATCACCGCCACCGCTGCTGCCACCTCCATCGCCAGTACCATCACCACCGTTGCCATCCCCGTTACCGCCGCCATCGCCGTTACCGCCACCATCGCCGTTACCGCCGCCACCTTCGCCCCCACCATCCCCTCCGTCACCATCATCAGCTACATGGTAGCCAGAACTTGATTTTGGCTTGTTAGCCTGCTTCAAGGACCTTGCGAAGGAAAGGTAGAAGCTAATGCTAAGCAGAACTAACAATGCAAGAACCTTGAGCTTATTGCGTTTAGCCATTGTTGTTTATGGATTGGTGGATGAGAAGCTGTGGTGGTCGAATGAGCGCTATTTATAGCAGAGGGCTTGCACTACAAAGTAGGTTTATGGTAGAGAAGCAGAGGATTCAAATGAGGAGGATTATTACAAGGAAAAAAAGGAAACAATGTGCTTGAGGTCAAACAATTCGGCTGGCTTTGAAATTTTGATTAAAGACTTTGAGTAATTTTTGTTCTATATTGCATTATAGAATATTTGAATTATTTTGCAAGAAAATTATCAGAATGATTAACATTTTTTTAAATTGCCCAAAAATAAATTTGAAAGAAAGATAATAATATTAGTTGTATTTCACAATATAATGCTTTATAAGAAAGAATTTTATGAGTAGAAGAGATTCAGGACTCATAGAAATATCAAAAGGCATGAAAAAAATTAAAGAGTAAAACCTTAATAAAATTACATATAATCATAAGAGTTTCATTATTTATCTCTTCATCTTTCATCAAATTAAGGATGCGTTTGGGTTGACTTTTTTACTACTTCTTAAAATAATTTTTTAGTTCAAAATTAAAATTTTTATTTTAGAAAATGACTTTAAGAAACAATAAGAAAACCATTCAAACGAAACCTAAATCATGATTTAATATAGATTTCAATCTTGCATTTTCCTTACTTTATAGATTTTGGATTTTCTACATTGTACTTATGACCTCAATTTGTAATAAAAAAGTGAATAACATGGCTCCCATGTCATCATGCATGAATTTAGTAAATGTTAAACAAAAATTTCACAAAATGGTAGGGATAAAGTGCATGCAAATTTTTTTTATCATCATATATATGTTTTTCAATTAAAAAGCTTCTTTAGTTAAATCATGAAAGAAGGTTGTTTTTTTTCTGCCTTCATAACTCTTATGATAACTAAATATGCCATAGATGTTGTTTATAGAAGATGCTTGAAGTCCTCTAGATAAAAAAATAAAAAATTCTAATGTGAAGAGTTTATGTTTATAAATTTTCCTCCATATTAGAAATAAAATGTTATAGCTATCTAGTAATTAACCAAGTGTTTTCCAAATCAGATTGATTTTTATATCTCACAAAGAATCAATGTTAAACAGTGCCATCTATGGGTGCTTCTTCTGATATTAAGTAGGCCTCCTCAAAGAAGAAAGATTTCTGATGCACTTGATCTTGAGCAGAGTTCAAATAAATTGATCATTAATTCTTCCATTACTTAGTTTAAAGATAATAATATCCTTTTAAAAAATTTTTGAGATACTCAAATGTTGACATTGAAAATATCAACAATTTGATAGAGTTTAAATTGCTCCTAAGAATTAGTTTGAGATCACTATTCTTAGCCTTATTCGCATATACTGCAAATTTTGCTGGGACTCTCTGCCTACTCATGGAATTTTTTAAGCATTACCCAGTAGTAAATTCTCATTCCAATCCTCCTAGTGTTTATCTTGAGGGTCTCTGTTAGATCTGTTGATTCTTGTTGAATTTAAAATAGGTTGTTAAACCTAAACTAATGTCCCAAGGCTAACCAAGAGGGGGTGGGGGAGGGTGAATTGGTAATTTAAAAATTACTTCTCTTGGATTTAAAATGTGAAACCAGTTAATGATTCTTAGCAATTTAATTTAAGTTATTTGAAAATAAATTTTCAAGCACGGAATTAAAATTTCATTAAGCAGCGGAAATTAAAATGACACAAGGATTTATAGTGGTTCGGTCAAACACGACCTACATCCACTTCCTGAAGACTTCCTCTTCAGGTATTGCACTATTACCAAAAATGACTCTCCTTTTTTCCCCACAGTAAGGCGGAGAAGCCTTTACAAAACTCTCTTCCACCAATCCCTGATGCGGTAGAGAACCGTCGTCCTTTCACACCCTCTAAGTGTAGACAGAGTACCTTCGTCCTTTCACACACTCCAAGTGTAGGCAGAGTACCTTCATCCTTTCACACCCTCCAAGTGTCGGCATAGAACCATCGTCCTTTCACACCCTCCAAGTATTGGCAGAGAACCGACGGCTGTTCACACTCTCTAAGTGTTGGCAGAGAACTGGATCTTCTTCAAAGATATTCTCACGAGCAATCTAGAAAGACAAAAAGAAGAGTGAAAACTCAAATCACACACAAAGATCATAACCTTTGAGTAACATTGCGAACCCTTCACACTCCACTAACAAGAAATCTCTCTCAAACACTCTCTCCTTTAATTGCCCTTGAAAATTCAAGAAGCAAAGATATAGAAGCCAGTCTTTAATGGACCTTTTATACAAAAGACACGAAAAATCGTCAAAAAAATTGAATTTTTCAATTTTGAGCTTGCACGATTGTACTATACGATCGTATGTTCATACGTACGAACAATTCAAATACTGTTGCGTACGAATCTATTGTGAATCGGTATGAACTCATTTCGTACGCAATCATCGTCCGGTACGAACTAAGTTTTGAAAACCATTTCAATTACTTCATTATTGGATGAATTGAGCTCAATTGATTCTTAAACCACCACTATTTGGCCAATTAGCCCATTTACCTCAAATGGTTCCAAATGGACCATATTGACAACCATTTAAAATTTACTTGTTAATCACATTACGTGATTTATTTAAAGATTTTTTATTTAATTACGTACTTCTTTTCTGGATGATATTTTAAAAAATACTTTAATTAGTTTAAGCTCTCAAATTTATTTTAATATAAAAAATTATATATGTGTATTAAATACTATATTAATTTTAAACTATATTTCAATTTTATCGGCCCACCTAAACCTACAATATTGTAAACTTGGCTTTTATCGAATCTTTCCAAAGAATCACCAATAAAAAAAAATTAAGGAGAATTGATTTGCTATTCATTTTAGTTTATATTTGACTCTAGGTGGAATACCGAATATCTTGTTGAATGCTGATTGTGCGTCCGGTGTCCACCGTCCAGAGGCCGTCGCTCGTTGGCTTGAGTGGCGTCGAAGAAGCGACAAAGCTTGAAGGTGGAAGAAGAAGCAACGAAGATGGGAGGCACTAGGAAGAGCCGTCGGCGTTGAAGGCGATCTCTCGCTCGCGGCTCGCCAGAGAAGAGAGGGTTAGAGCCTGGAGGCATGGAGCGGCTGTGCAGGAAGAATGAATGCGAGAGACACGGAACCGGTTCGATTAGGGCAAAATAAAAATTTTAGGGGGGGCAAAATTACAAAAAAGGCCCTCTTCTAATTAATTTTTTTTTTAGGGGGGGCAATTTCCCCCCCTCGACAGTAAATGGTTCCGCCAGTGGGTGTAGGTTTGATTTTTTGGTCATGTCATATGTTGTTGACACCCCTAAAAAAATGTTATTTTTTTCAAGATCCTAAGTAGAATAACATACATATTTTATGATTATTTGCTTATCATTTAAAAAAATAAAATAAAAATAAAAGATTAAATGTGATTTAAATATGTCAAATCATCTTCTTCCTTTAATTGGCTTTGATTAAAACTTTTAAGTACTCTACTCCCACGAAGCTTGGTTGAAAGCTTTGGCTACCAACTAAGAGGTCTTAGGTTATAGTCTTGCGTATGTGATGTATGCGCAAGTTTGACTTAATTGTTTTAAACGTAAAAAAAAAGTACTCTGCCCAAACAATGTTAACTGACAGACGCACAAACAAGATTGTCATAGCATCAAAGGTGGTGGAAGGTTAATGTGGTCGAGGTTCTCTACTACTAATAATATAAAATTAATTATATTTTTATTTAATTATTTATTAATTATCTTTTTATTTTTATTTTCTTTTTACTTTCAATTAAAAGGAATAGACAATTAGCATTTTTAATGTATCAATAATATTAAATATTTTTATAGAAAAAAGCCATTTATATTATTAATAAAGAAGACACAAAATTATATAGAAGTGAAGTCAAGTCTCCTAAGAGCGAGCTAATAAAGGAGTCAAATTTAGGCTAAAATGAATTGCAAATCAATGCCCCCATTATTTATATATTTTTTTATTTTTGATTGGTGATACTTTGGAAGGATATGATGATGGACAAAGTTTTTCTCGATGGAGGTTTAGGTAGAATAAGACAGACCAGAGTGAAGAAGAAAAAGAGTTGTATGAGACATTTTTATTTAAAAAAATTAAAATATTACTTTTAAGCTAATATAATATTATTTATTTATATATTATATTTATTTGAAATTGGCCTCTAGGATTCTACCACTTGGCTAGGATTTACCAAAGGCTTTGGGTGTTCTCAAGATTTTCTTAGGGTGGTTTGACTACACATAGTAAGCATGGGGCCTCACATTTAATCCTTAAAGGTGTAAGATTTGATTTGATTCAACAATATGTGATGTAAATAGGTTTGTACATGTTTGATTATGGATCAATGCATAATTAATTTCCTTGTTTCTTTTGAACTCATTGGAATCCTAATCAATGTATGATTAAACTCTACTTAATAACACCTTTATTGCATAATCTTAATCTTTTTAGAGATCGCAAAATAATAAAAATAATCATAATATTTGCACTTATCGTATATAAAAAGTTACACAATAAAAGTGCGATAAATAAATTGAAAATGTATTTTTATTGATTTACGAGAGATTAAATTCCTCAAGCTCAAAATCAATGAAAATAAAAAAGAGATTTTAGTTACAACAATTAAAAGACTTTTCTTAACTGAAGCTACATATAAAAATAACCAAAATCATCTTTCTTTTTCTTCCCTTTCTCCTCCTTGTCTTCGTTTCACTCTCTTCTTCCACGACAAGTCAGACTAGATTGGGGGAGGTGGAGGTGCTGTGGGGCGCTACCAAGCACCGTACCTGTGAGCTGCAATTTAAATAGAAATTCAAAATTTCAATTTAAAAAGCTTTTTTATTTTCTAGGTTATTACAACTAACCTACTTTAATATTATTTTTATGGTAAAATTACCTATGGTTTAATAAAAAAATTATTATATGGTTTGGCCATATAGCTAGAACATCTAGTTAGAAATCACCAAGTATGACTAAGG